ATAAGATGTGACTCTCGAAGAAGGATCGGATGGGGATGAATAGCGTCTTATTTAGAATGAGTTGTACCATTAAAAAATAAATAAATAAATTATGGAACACATCAATTGAATTATGATATACAACTTGGAGTTTGACTACAACCTGTTTTGTAAAGCAAAAGCAGAGAGCAGGTCACATAGGGCTGAGAAAATATCCAAAAGGAACTATGAGGAGAGCAAGAGTATGGAGGGAGTATGAAGCAATGCACTAGTAGAATGGCTATATATCCCAGAACAGAGTGTAAGAACTGAATAAGATTGCTGCTACGCTGAGGGTCAGGTAGTTTTGCAGAGAGTTGTGGAGAAAGAAAATAGATCAAACAGCGAGCATAATCTGTGAAGAGACAGGCGACAGCATGAAAAGGATGAACAGTATCCACAAAAGCCTGTAATATGTGAAGAAAGGTAGTGGTATCAAATTATGTCAAGGAGCATTGGTGGGAGGAAAGGAGAGAAATAAGCGAGGTTAAAGAAGAGTAGGGAAACTACAGGAAACAGTATATTTGAGATGTTCAAAGGTACAAACTGTACATGGGTGGCTGATATGGAGTGAGAATGTGTGGTCAATGGTAGCAGAAACGTGTTTAGGCCTTGAAAAGGCAGGATTGAGCTGTGGGGCGGATGTCCATAACGGAAGAACTCCAAGGGTGGGAGGTAAGGCTGGAAAAACTATAGAACATAGTCGAAGCATGGTTGCGCCGTGGAAAGGCCCAAAATGGACACACAGCGTCTAGGTTGAGTTGCATGGTAACGAAAATAGCAGGTAAGAAAAAATGACCCCATAACCCTAGAATATAATGTGGGTTATAGGGACATGGATGATGGATACAACAACTTGAGTTTTATAATTTGGCCCCCCATCCCTCACAAGCCTCATGAGGTATAGGAGCAAAATCCACACTTTTGCTGATGTATCTACTTGCTCACTTTTGTGATCATGCCATCCAGTTTGGCAATATTCCAATATATTCTATCAAGTTTGGAGAGCTAGTCCATAAGGAACAAATGAAATGCAGATGGCGATGCTAGAATAAAAATAGTACTGTGCGGCAGATACTCTACAACTACTGTTGACAACACTCAATCCGAATGTGGCTTCTGAACTTAGATTTCCTACGAAATTGCAGGGCCTACATTCAGCTGATATTAGTAAACTATTGCACCCGGCAAGCCTACTATCTGTACCAGAGGCCCACTAAAGGGTCCTAAGTAGACGTCGTACTAATGTTTCTGATACTTCAGATTTTTGCAATGTCTTAGATATCTCGATTGAGAACCTCTGTGAGAAATTGATTCGATATAGCCATCAAGGCCTACTCCTTGTCTGCCGGCTTCCAGAAGCTCCTGCAGTACTCTGTTATCTTTCTGTCAAGCCCCTAATACAACTTGAAATTCCTGTTCTGGTATTTCAGGAAACAGAGGTTTACAACATACACCAGGTACGATCTACAGGAGACGAGCCGTTCCAGAAACAGGGAAGCTGTGATAATTGCATTTGGGTACAGACTGGTAGGGAGGGGATGTCTGGTATGCTAAGAGAATGCCTGCTGGGGAAACTCATGGTGCTCTTCAAACTCTGAGACTACACACAGGGCAATAGGGTTTACTAACTTGAACTTGTGTGTGTCCAACTGCTAAGCGTAGTTAACTCAGGATGCCTATCTAAGTTTATAATCTCATCACCATACAGCTAAATCAGGGTGCTCAAAGATTTATAATAGTAGATATTGGCACTATTACTGGCTTGGCGTACTTGATCCAGGATGTGGAACAGTGCTGGCTTGTTAATAGTCAGATTAATTTATAGAGGCTCAATGAAATATATTAAATGATTTGGCAAATCACTCAGCCAGTATTCGATCCCATAGGAAGCATGATGCAGCGCAGAGCCAAACCTGGTTCTTACAATCCTGTTATTATAGTATGGGCATGGGGCTAGGACACCTAGGAATTGATGGTATTCAACATATAGGACTTAGGTACTTACAGCAAGAGAAGGACAAGAAGGAGGGCTATGGCATGGATATTACATAACAGAAAGCTCTTGGAGTTGTAACCCTCCATAGATAGCATAATGTAGATAGATTCAGAAGTCATAAAATGGAAATAAACTTGATTGAGATCTGACATTTACAGTGAGAATAGAGTGGCGGCAAATGGAAGCTTACACATGATACAGAGTCCTGATATCAGTAGGACTGAATTCCTGAACTAGAAGTATGGTGTCAGGTCCCAGTGAGGTAGAGGCTCCAAGGAAAGATGTGGACTGAGTCCAGATGCCAGAGGATGGGATGACATGAACTAGACAGGAGGATGCCAGGTATCAAACCATGGTATTGCTGCCCTGAGATGAGCAGATATGCTAAATACCTTACAATAGGATGGAGAAAGAAGGTGTAGATACGGGTGTCTATAATAGAATGAAATGTGAGAGGTAAGTGGGGGCAGCATCAGGATGGCCAGATGTGGGAGGTGTTGCAGATGACAACATAAACCGAGAGTTGAAATATAGGACACAGTGGACGCAGCTGACTATTGCAAGGCAAGACCAGACGCACAGGACACAGGGGATGTAGGGGAAAAATACCATGTGTCTAGAGGCAGCACCTGTACATCTGATGCAGGATTTGTTTTCACTGATGAGGGGGAAGGGGGGATAGAAGAGGGGGGATACAGGAGATAGGTGGTGCAGAGGGATAGGGGTCATGGTGTGGTGGTCAGTAGTAGGAGAAAGACTAATTATAGGAATAATAGAGCAAAAATGGGAAAAAGAGTTTCAGTTAGAGAAGATATTGGATGCCCAAGTAAAATATAAGTGAACAGGATCAAGAGCAGTTTCCAGGAAAGAGAATTGCTAATCTTTGACACATAGGTACTATAGCTAGGTCAGAGTTTATGCAAATAGTGAAAAGAAAGTAAGAAATGAGTTGGAAAGGGAGGAGAAGCCGGATTTAGGGATAGGAGATAGGTGAATGGAAATAGCTACAATTTACTATGGTTTAAACACTGATACCAATCTTCTGATTACAAAGCTTGAGTTGTATTAGAGAAAGAAGATAGTAGGGGGCTGCAGGGATAATATGGAGAAACTTGAAGTCAGACTTAAAAGTAGGAGGTACATAAATGAAATCTACTATTCTGCACAAAAAGAAAGCAATTGCTGATTTTGGACTTATAGAATATCATAGAATGAGGGACTTGGAAGCTGTTGCAGTCACAATCAAGAAAAATATGAAGTAAGATTACAGCAGGTGGAAAAATTGGACTTAGAGGAGCAGGCAATGGAACGGCGCTCAGGTGTAGTATAGGTTAGAGGAAAGCGGCATTAAACTTGTCAAAAATGAATTATAAACCACACGGAGGTGGAACTGGGGATGTGATAAACTAAATGGAGGATAAACTAAAGTATGCTTTTTTGCGATTTTTTCACTTCTCAACTCATTCTCCTATTGGAATCATAAATTGTATTAACCTTAAGTGGCTATCTCCTAACCCTTTCTGGAATTCTGTCTTGTGACTGAAGTTCCTACTAATTCTTGTTTCCGAATACACGATGAAACTACAAGTAGTATGGTATCATCGAACTACCAACCACTGTACAGTACTGTACGACCGCCCGCGCACTAGTACTAGCACGAGCACCCTACCCAATCCGAGGAGCCGATCTCGGACTTGTTTCTTTCTTTGTTTGTTTGCTCGCCCGTCAGTTGCGGAGAATACAGTAAACACACGATCCACCAGAATGTCTAACGTCAGATGGTTTTTGTTTGTTTTCCAACGTGGTAGCCGATACATTGGGAATTCTGTCTATGATATCATATGATAAGATGCAGAGATCTCTCGCCACAATATGAGGAGGAAGACGTTTGGCACAAGATCTGGACAATCGTGTGGGGGGCTATTACTCTACTCGACTTGTGTGTGTCTGTCCCGGGGTAAGGGAGGGTTCGTTACTACGCATCATAGGCGAAACTAGAGCCCCATCGATCTCCAGCAGCATGCTAGAGTGGAGTGGCCCGCCGTACTGGGCGTCTATTATACTCGTACAACTATCATAATAGAGACTTTGCGATTTCGCATCCAGAGTCAAATTCTAGCGATCTCATTGGCCCAGAACCCTGTTTGACCCACATCCAGAGTCTTTTCGCAAAGTCCCCAATATTGTCATTACACAAGCCAAACACCTCCTTCCTCCCATAACGTCACACTTTATCACTCGATATCTATAAAGCGTCCCATTTTTTATCTTTCTCATAATCTTAATTCCGAGCGCCCGTTTTCACGGCTTCGACCCACGCGGCCCATACCGAAAAAAAAAGAGGGGGAAATTCTGACTGATGGAAATGTCTGAAAAAGTGGTTCTAACATTATGAAGGAAAAAAAAAATTAAAAAATTTTCCTCCCAGTTTCCTGTGATATATAAACCATACTGTAGGAATACTTCTTGCTGTAAGGCGGTGAATGTTAGGTTCTTTAGAGTTGTCTTATATTCCCGTTCCTTGTTCTACCGGTGTAAGTAGAAAGCAATCAGTACTCCCACTCATTTTTTCCCCTCTTTGGTTTGTCATACCTCCATGGTGCGTATCATGATAGATCACTCGGTACATACACAACTCGGCCTCAGGGGGCAGATTTAACCAAGAGCTGTAGGGAGAGGGGGGTGAGGAGGATAGGGAATTTGATAGCGATATACACAATCCGGGGTATGCTGTGATTCCTCAGTGGTTCGCACGATACCCGCCCCCCAATACCGTGGTATGACACACCATTGGCCAAATTCTAGGGACCCGAGGCCCCACAATCTCTGCCAGGGACAAGGTGACCCAATACCGAGAGACGTTGCGATCGCTTCCCGAGCATATCGTACATTCTCGTCCGCCGGTTTGCTCGCGGTTGACAGCGACAACAACCTAGCCAGCCTACACGCTAAGGGAAGCGAAGCTAAGAATGAGATGGGGGGGAATAGAGTGCATATAAAAAATAAAAATAAAATACTCGGGCCAGGTATTCTCTACTACTACTAAAAATACAAACCCCAATACGCCAAAACATGAAAAAAAAGCCCTCCCGGATAATCCAGGCAAACATAGAGAGAGACAGAAATCGTCAAGCCATTACCCCGCCATTTCGACATCATCATCATCCTCCCCTGGCGCATCCTCGTCTTCCTGGCTGGCTTCTTCAATAGGTGTATCCCTCGCGCCTCTTATGACCCGTCTCGTAGAAGGTGGCTGCGGAACGCTGTTAACTCTCGCACGTGGAGTTGTGCCAACGTTGGATTGCCTATTCCCTCTCGGCATCCTCTGACCCCTGTCTGCCTCTTCGCCAACAGGTAAACCGCCATTCCACCCCTTCTTGCAGTGCGGACATTCGGGCGTGCGGTTGGGACGGAAGATGCCCTCAGCGCAGGCGGTATGGAGGCGGAGTTTGCAGTATTTATCTGTACAGCGAAGGCCCTGGTGTGCATGTTAGGTTAGGGGAAAGCGGTGAGGGAGCGGGGGGGAGGATTTACTATGGTTACAATCTCTCGGCACGCATGGCAGGTTTTGACCCTTTCGATAGTGCCATTGGTGGGAGACCCGTCATCATCATGCTCGCCATCTTCGTCCGCGGGGGTATTGTAGGCTTGGAATAGATAAGGGCCGAGTTCCAGGAGTGCTCGGGTCGTGAGAGAATAGAAACCTGCCCTAAAAACACGATCCCCATGAGCACATCTATCTGTCTAACCAATGACATACTCAAGAGGGACCATACTTAGAACACTCCAACCACCCCTCATCGACAAAACTTCCCAACGCCGCTTCTGCCCCAACCATAGTCAAACCGCTAGTGCTCTGACTAGCAGAGCCCTGCGTGGCTTGAGTAGCTCCCCCCTGCTGCGGATTCTTGTGCAATCTTACAGCGGCAAAGTCGTGAACTGCCAAAACCTCTGCATCGCGAGTGTTATTGGTCTCGAAGATTGCGTCGAGGACTCTCTTGAAGAATGCGATCTCATCGGCGTTATGAGTTGTAGCCAACTGGACAAGCTCGTCTGATGTTGTGTTGATCTGCGGTGTCATGGGTGAGTTAGGGGAAGAGAAGGCATGGCCGGAGCGGGCGAACCAAAGCATAAGTCTTTGAGCGATCCCTCTGGTCCAACATGATCTTGATTTCTAGGTCAAAGTCATGGATCATGTCGTTAGCCTTGGAAATGTATGATGAGACGATGCGCTCGTTTATGTCTTCAATGCTGATTTCGTGCTCCGCATCTTTGCGCCAGTGGATGAGTCAGTCATGATAGGAACAGAAGGGTAAGAAGTGATTACCGTCCGCGGACAATATATCGGCCAGAAGGACCCTGATATCATCAATTTTCATAATCCTACGAGACATAAAGCCCTGCAGAAATGCTCTATTAACATCGCCATAACCTTCCCGTAAAAGACTCATGATTTCGAGATGCCGGCCTTGAAAGCCAGTATGGCTGGTGGTAGAATCGGGAGGGAGAAGTGGGAAGGGGAAAACAGAAAGACACGAGTGATGCAAGTTAGAGAACAGTAAACGCAGGAATTAGCACGACCCCGTCCTCCATACCCAATCATGATGGAGAGCCTCTTTTTTGTTCTTTTTCCGTTCGGGAAGACCCGCAGAGCCTCCAAAGCCAACTTGGCTGTTCCTCATTCAACGCGCAAACGGGTAGACTCCGTCACGTATTGCTCAGCTCCCAATCCAACTGACTCCATACCCGTCTGCTCCGGCCACCAGATTTCGGACTCGCCAGGAAACGCAAAGTCATTAAGTTTTTTTCATGATTCCCCCGTCAATTCTTTGATAGCTTCTTTGTCCTTTGTTACTTCCCTCTCTCGAGTACCGTACCCGGTAATAGTTTTTCATCAATACCCTTTGAGACCTACACTTCACACACTCTCTTTTTAAGCCTCCGCTATGTGGTTGTCGGATAGGCAAAGTATAGCCCTTTTTTCTCTGCCTTGAGTATTTGTGAATATTCGCTTACGGATCCGCAGAGTTTGGGGCTGGGTTCTGCGCAGGAGGTGCGACTAATAGATACTCGTGTACCTATCCGGAGATCGAAACTAATCGGCTCACTGCGCAGGAGTTTTTTTCTTCCTCTTCGGCATCATGATGTTCTTTGACAGAGCAATGTTAGTATCACCTTACCGCGATCCCTCCATATCTGATGCTGACTTTTCTCCAAACAGGTTGGCAATGGGAAATGTCAGTCCCTCCCAAATACATAGGCAATCCAACCGCAAGCCACCCTACTCACCTTTATCTCTTATATAATAGATCCTCTTTGTTGTCGGCATATCCCTATTCATGGGTCCAAAAAAGACCTTCTCCTTCTTCGCGCGCAAGGAAAAGTTCCGTGGGACAGCGTGTTTCCTGTTGGGCGTTGGATTGATACTGGCAAAATACCCGCTGATCGGGTTCTGCATTGAACTTTACGGCATCTTGAACTTGTTTGGCGATTTCTTTGGGGTTATAATTGGGTTTTTGGGGTCCGTGCCTGTGGTAAGCATGCGGCTTTGAGGGGGTGAGCTGTTGGAGGGACAAGATATTGACGAGGTGTGCTCCCTCAGGTCGGGCCCTATTTGGAGGGACCATTACGAAGGGTCACCGGTAGGTCCATTGCTGATTGGATATGGAAGACTGGAGTTGATTCTTCTTTTAGGCGCTGCACCGCAACTACCCGTCTAAGGGGCCGGGGTTATTGGCTTCTCTTTCCTCCGGCGTTTCTGGAAGGGGTGGTTTTTTGTTGGGATGATGGAAGCTGTTTTACCTTTGGCATGTATTCACGGATATCGAGGAGGAGGGGGAGGAGGAGTACGGTATGTGTATCATGTTGGCCTGCGCGTGGCTTAGAAGTTCGGGTTTATGCATGAAGAATTTAATGTTTAATACAGCCCTGAAGACTAGTCGATCAAAGGGGGTGACACAGTTTACGTGTGTGGGGCATTGAGCAATGCCAAGCGGTATAGGCATACCGGTAGGACGGACGGGGAGAAACACGGAGTAGTGAATACAAAATGAGCAAAGCGAGAGACTAAGAAATAGGTTTCAGATAATTTGGGCACCAGAGCTCCGCTACCCCAGATTTGGTTGCAAGAAGAAAAAACCCGTCCCTCCATCCACTCCCCGTTATTCTCGATGATTCACGAAAGCAACTCGGGGCGATATTCAGTATCCTACCCCCCGTAGGTAATCGCCGAGGCTCTCAACCGTGGTCGCTGCCTGTCCGGGTTGGATGCTCTCGCCGTAGTGAGCAACGAGAATGGCTTGTGCTGTCCTGACACAAACGATGCCGGTTTTGCCCTGGAGTGAGATTGTGAGCGTTTGCCACAACCGACCTTATTTGCTGAAGAATGCTCCGTCGGCGGGGCTCACCTGTTTTCCGTAGATTTTTCCCAATTCACACTTGATGGTAATGTACTTGACGCCGCCAATGTGAAATCCTGTGGGGAGCTCAGGCACCTTGGTGCCATCCCCAAATGCTGTAGCGATTGTCTTGATCTCTTCCGGCTTAACCTAGTTGAAAGAAACAGAAGGCATCAGTTAATCGAACCCAATATGGACAACAGAAGCTAAAGACATCCGTGGCCTCGGATGAGGTATCCGGAATTGCTGAAGCGGGGAAATGCAATGCCTATACCACCTGGTCCATAGTAGGGGAGGTTACTGACCGTAAAACCAGCAGAAGTAGCCCACACACTGTCTCCCGTAGCACTGAATATGGCGGCTGCATTAACGTTCTTAGAGCCCAAGAGGCTATAGGAGAGTTAGCAGACAAAATAGAAGATGCACGCGAAAGCTCTCTCGTGGTGCTGCTTACGTCGAGTCAACATAGGCTACGGTGTTTCGAGATAAGAATCAGCAAAAGCGTAACAGGGATTTGTTCACCCCGCTTTTCTTTCATTCGTCCACAAGCGGACGGTCAGGGCTCACCTTGCCAACTCATATTTTATTTATCGGGAGTGCGAGAATTGTCCGGAACTAAAGGGGAAAGCAATAGAGACAAACGGGTATTGTAAGAAGATGATGAGACGTTGAGGTGGTGAGTTATTGAAGCGGTCGTGATGGTGGTGGTGGTGGTGGTGGATGGTGGTGGTTGCTTTGGTGGTGTTGTGGTTGGGGGATGGGGGAGGGAGAGAAGATACGTTGCGGAGGGGTCTTTGACAACAAGGCCGCTCACTCATCCACCAGCGCGAGGTGAGGCTGAGGGGCTAGTGAGCCAAGCAAGGCGGATGGTTGGTGGGGTCGATTCATTGATGATCTCGCTGACGGACACCGTAGACTACATACGATTCGTGGGGAAATTCAATAAGGCGGGCTGGAGGAACCAAGGAGATGCATGATACTGCACAGTACCGTACCCGTAGGAACGTCCATAGCATGATATCTATCGGGTATCATAATTGAAATAGAGTTGGGATTACCCTGTGGCAGTTTTTGGGTACTCCACTCTTGAATATCGTGCTGGTACGGTAGTATAGACGAAATGATTTGTCATTGATCGTGCTTTGTGCTTGTAATGGAGTATGATACCGGTAATGTGGGATTGAGCTGATACATTCTTATGACGTTTTGCGTGTTTGAAGTCTGTGTGATCGAGTACGGTACTGAAGCATCATATACACCGTAGACTACTCGTACCCTTTTACTGTGGCTTTCATCACAAGTATCCGAAAACAAGATTCTCGTGAGGTTCTCTCCCACGGCAGAGTACTGTACAGTACTCGAGGTACTCGAAGTTAGCACCTTCCTCGGCCGGATTCAAACGCCACAAATCCCGGCAACCGAAAGGTTACATGCATACAGCTGCTGCCAAAAATTATCCCTCCTCGCTCAGGTTACCGTGCTCGCTATCATCTGTTGGAGAGTATCCGGCATGGTATACCGGTACGGCACGGAGGGGCTATGATACGCGAGCAGAATAGGGGGTTCGCGCAATTCTGATCCGGGTGGGAGTTATCGACAGTGTTGCTAATTAGAGGTTGTCGTTCTTCTTTTGCATCCCGACCCCCGTGGGATCAGGGAAGGGGAGTCGCCAAGCGGCACCATTATCCCACGTTACAAGTATTATACAAGCAATACCGGTATGGTACCACCTACCGTATTATTATACCGGTATGGGTCTCTCGGGGCAAACCCTCCAATACGGGTGCATGCATGGCTTGCAATACTCCTCCATTCCTCGTGAGGAGACAAGCGGAGGAGGAGAAGTGGTCTATGATATGATACCGTACCAAATCTATTATACCGTAGACCTGCAGCAACCCCGCTTACCGTATGCTTTTATAGAGGACGAGGGACGATTGTATTGCACGTACAGTAACTTATACTAGTACTAGCCGCACAGCACGGGGTTGACTTACTGTGCTCGCATCGCTGCCGTACCACGAGCAAACAAATCCACTTCCTCATCTTAGCCCCTGACCCCGACAACTCGACCTCAATTTCTAGCATCCGAACGTGAGACATCATCGCCTTAATCTCTTTCACACTGCCTGCGACTGGCTCCTCCTCCACCGGTATCAGAATTAATTCCTTCCCCCGGGGGAAAACGGACCGATCGACACCCCTTGAAAGCTTTATTTGGCTCGGCCAAGATTGCAGACATGTAGACTCGTGGAACCTTCATCTTACGGTGACTACAGTGTGACTGGCCGCACCGTCCCTTCCCACTGCTGGCACCGTACCGTACGGTACCGTATTACAGAGAGACAGCCTTACTGTACCACTCATGACGCGAACCGGTTCATCATCCGGGTGAGCGCACACTATGCCAATCTATTCAAGGAGTTATCGCGTCCAGTGCCTCCACACGGGATAATCCATGGAAGCTATTCCTGGGCGCACTATCGTATCTTGCCAAATGACAGGCCTCTGTATCGAGTTCAGATGTCCTGCACATGACACCAAAGATGAGAGTGGGCCAAGGATTAACCCTGGTTGGAGGGTGTTCGCCCTCTCTTCTCGCGGTGAAAATGAGAACAATTTGCTCTTTGGAATCAATCTTCTCCCAAGAGGTTCGATATATGGGCCGCTGTCTCATTCATGCGTTTGAAGCCCACTCGGATTACCGGTATTGCGATGGGACAAGGGGTTCGGTGCGCTCCTCGTACCACCATACGCCGGTGTACAGTACGCCTACCGGTAGGGAAAAAGCTTCTGCCTCTGGAATCCTATAACTTTGCCATCCCAGCAAGGAGGGGGGGAAAGGGGAAAGGGGAAAGCGCAGACGGTTTACCCGCAGTGAGTGGTTTGGGCACATACTGCTTCCAAGATTCAGTGGATCTGGGCTCGACCGCGGTGAAAATGGTCCCTAAATGCGCACATAGGCTCATATAATACAGATACTTATGGCACCGGATTTATCGTATTCCGCACTACGTGTTGACACCGTTCCAGCCCTGATGCATCAAACAAGCCAGTGGGCAGTCCCACTTGCGGTAATATTGGCCGCCGTACCGGTATATTGCAGTGCAGCCCGGAAGTATTGCTGCGAGTGGTGGTGAGGTGCTGGGGTATAGGGGTGGAAGATTGTATCGCAGATTATCTGTGCCTTCTGACCCCTCGCGCCAGTGCTGGATTCAGAAGGCGGTGGGGGCATGAAGCTGTATAATGACAATTAAAGACTTGCAGCAAGATCCGCCTGTCGTGGGTGCAGGGTAGGAGCGGTTGGAGTTTTCCTGTTCCGGTATAACGCGAGGAGGTTGCCTAGGAGTGGCCGGACGGGGTTTTTGTCGGTGGTATTTCGTCCGGTATAGGCAGCTTTCAGTATCCTTCACACTCGAAATGTTCGGCTGCCGATGCGGGTGCTTTCGTGCGGGATATAACTCGAGCAATGTATTATCGTGCTACTTGTGCTTGGCCTATTACCTCGTCAATTCTTTCGCTTCCCCACAACCACCTCGTCCATCCATCCACCCACCCTTATCCCTCCGGGCAAGCACTGGATCGCTGTCGTCTGCCTGGTCTGCAGATATTTTCTGCTCTTCTTCCTCCCACTTTCTGTCGCTCCTTCGAAGAAGCCTTTTTTCATCTTTCCTTTTCCTTCCCATTTCACTTTCATGCCCGCTTTTCGGGGCTAGACTCCTTTTTCTTCTTATTCTTCCTTGCTCCCATTATCACTATTGTTATTATTGGAAATATCGCCCAGGTCTACTCGAGTAGCCATCAGCTCCCCCCACCCCCCCTCGTAACCGCCGGTTGGTTGCTCTATTTATTTTATATTCTTCACCTTTGGCCCACCCACCCAGGGACAGTCTTACAACTTTCCATTTCTCTCGTTCCGCCAGTGCCGCGTCCAGAGGGTCATTAGCGTAAGCTCCCCGCCCGGTTTGGTTTTACCCAAGCTGCTAATTGTTCTGTGCTTCGCCCTTCATTGTTTACTTATTTATATATGTTCCTTCCAGCACCTAGCTCGGCATGTCGGGAATACTGCGACGAGCAAAATCAACACGCGATGCTCGGGCAAAGAAGGTTGCCCGTGATCAGCTGGATTTCAACTTTGCCGCTGAAATAGAGAGTTTGACACTGCCAAAGGCGCCGGGAGGGGAGCCACGACCCTCCAGCCCTCCAAAGCTCAGTCGGCGCAAAAGCATTTCAAGTTTTCATGCGTCTCTGCGGATAGGAAATATATTTGACAACATTCCCAGGAGCGCGAATCCTCTGAATAGGCTTTCCATATTTCCTGGCGGCGGCCCTGCATCCCTGCCAGAGTCACCTCCGTTGTCTGCACTGAGGGTGTCACCCGTCCCGCCGGACCAGAGCTGTGATGGGGATGGAAGGGTGAATGGGCCGGAGAGGCCTTTAAATGATAGTTCGGTGGACGACAGTGAACTCCTTTATATTGGCATGGCAATCGGGAGCCCTAGTGAGGCGCGGGAGGCAGGGATGGGGAGTTCGGCTGTCCCTTCACCACTCGATGTGCCGTCAGGCGGGAATGAAACTCCACAGTTTGTACTGCCACCTGAGCCATTTGGTGTGGAGGTGCGGGGGGCGATGAGCGGGACGGTCAGAAAGAAGCAATCGCGGAAGGATAGCAAGCATGGTGCTCAAGCGGAGAACCCCAGGAGTGGGTGGAAGAAATTGTTTGGAAGAAGCTTTTTTGGTAAAAAGGATGCGCCCAAACCGGCCCAGCATCCTCAGCAGCCGCCGCCTATGCTAGACTCCCTGGTGACAGCAGAACCTCGACCGTTTCAGTCCAAGACTCCGTTCCTGATATCCAAATCGCATTTGGACAAGCTAGCTGCGCCTCCGGCATCACCAGCACCTTGTCTCAACGTTGATATTCCCGAGGTGGAGATGGAAAGATATAGCGTCATGTTTGGCACATTATTGCATCCGAGCGAGAAGTCATCATTGTTCGCGCGTAGGAGGTCAAGGGATGTTCCAGCTGCCAATGGGCAGGTGCGTTTTTTAATTGGATGCTTTATACAAGGAGCAGTTCCGGCTAACCTGACTAAAGACACAGCAAGCAGTACCCCAACTATACTTGAACCCACTAAAGCGAAATGCAACAACTGGTCAAGTGAGCCGCTCCCCTCGCTCCATGCTCGGAAATTCCCTCGGGAGTATAAGTCCTCGGCCTGGACCTAGCCCAACTCGAAGCCCGGGACTCGCCCGGTCCAAGTCAGTGGGAGGCGTCTCTCCGGCACCCTCGCCGGGAGCCATATACGTTGTGAATGCGCAAAGCGCAGAAGGTTCCTCCCCCTTGATGCCGGCTGGTCGCCCCTGCTCTCTGCGACCTGGCTCTTCGAGCAGAGTATCCCGAATATCGGAGGAGCCTTCGATTGATACACCGAGGGGCAGCTTTGATGAGGGCGACGATGGCTGGCTCACTAGGGACGGTGAGGTGGAGCCGCAATGGGAAATGATTAACCCTCAGGGCCGCTCGACGCAGACTACACCAGATACACCGATGAGTGAAGGTATGTCTTTACACCAACCCCGAGAATTGGTCGGATGAGGGGAGAGATAGTGCGTCTAATGAATCATTGTAACAGAGGACATTGAATACGCCGCGCAAATCAGCATAGCCCGTCAAATCTCTGTCTCACAACGCCAGCTGCTATTGCCGATTGTTCCTAGGTCACAGCGGCTCGTTAGCCGCGCACCACTACGCAAACCACCGAAGCCGCCGTTAGAAGGGAATATCATGCCCAGATCTTCTAGCGCTGCTGCAACACACCCCTCCACGCCCCCAGCCGTGCCACCGACATCGGCGGAGGCTGGTAGCACATGCTAGCCGCATGAGTGCATGGGTATAGTGCAAGTGAGGACCAAACTTTTTTGAATAAATTTGTTTGCTTCTTTGGGCAGGCTACTAATTGGTCTCTTGAATGGAGTGACATTGAGGGCTAGGTAGTTTGCCTGTTGGTGCCTGAACGACCTGCCGGGTAGGGCGTTTGTTTCTGGAGTACGGTGTTTTTTTTTGTTTTTTTTTGTCTTTTCTTGTCTTCGTTTTTGGTTATTTACTTTCTGTCAGTATTCGCCCACTTTTTACTCTCAGCGCATCGTATTTTCATATCATAATGTCATTGATGACTTGAAGGAGGGAGTGGATTACGAGAAGAACGAGAAGGAGGTGTTCTCGCCTTGTGGGAATTGTTGCTACTTTGCGGGCATTACGGGTATGGTTCCGACGGGGTAAACTCTAGACCAAAATTAGACAGAAATGATGGTGACAGTTATTCCTGCAATGGCGATTGTAACACCTCCAAATTATTATTTCTACCATTGATACTAGGTTACGAAACTCTAACTGTTAAATTGAAAAATATATTCTAATTGGCCAGGACTTTGGCGGAATTGTATGTTGTAGCCGGGCACAGGGTGCGGCGGAACAGGGTGGTAAGATCCGAACCAGCTACCGGTACAATAATTATAGGATATAAAAATGCAACAGACGAAGAATTGTTATTATTATTACTATTATTATCTTTACCGACATTAATATTAATTAATTAACCTTATTTACAAGTACTCGAGTCCAGTATGATACAAGTGCCAGGGATAAAGTTTTCGTACACATCTAAGAATACAGGGGTGCTGTGAGACATGAATTTGCTTGAGTAGGAAAACACTATCACATCACTAGATAAACAACGCGTGAAATAAAAGAACCATAAGAATACAGTTAAAAAAAAAAAAAAAGAGAAAATAAGAGAGTGAGGCCTATAA